GACTGGGGCGAAGCCTAAAGGGAGGGCAAGGATGGGGGGAGAGGGGGCAGATCGAGGGGCGGGAGGGGGAAAGGCTCGGCCCCCCCGCGCCACGAGAACTTCAGCGGAGCCGAAGCGCCAGCGCGCTTTGCGCCCGAAGCGGAGAGCAGCGCAGACAAAGGAGAAGGTTTGAAAGAGTCACGTGGAAATAGGGCTTTTCCCCCCCCTTGGGGGTCCCCGCCCCTTTCCCTCCCACTCGCGGCGCCGGCTCTTGATTGGCCCAACCCACGGGAGACCCCCCCCTTCCCGCAGAAAGCGAAATGAGAAAAAAAATCTCAAAAGTTTGGAAAGTTGCGCGCTTGGAAAGGAAGCCGGGCGTCAGGTAACGCCCTCCCCGGTTACAACCTAGTTTATTATTGTTTAAAAGAAAAAAAGTCAGCAAATGAGGTTTTACGCATCGGGAAATTGAAACAGGGTTCCTATCGATGGGATGGACCAACTGTTTGTTTTTTTTTTAGAATAATTCTGATAGGACCTGGCGGTCCCCCCAACTCCGGCGGTGTGTAGCCTTAAACGTTTACGAGAAGAAGATCAGGAGTACGGTTCCCTGTTTGTTTACGGGGCACAAGGAAAGACGGACGGGGAGGGAAGAGGAAAAAACGCAAACCCAGCCCCCGTTCGTCAAACGACGGCAGAAGAGCTATCGCAGGCAAGCGGGTGGAACCGCTAGGCGACCCTAGACCCCAAGCAGCTGAAGCTTCGAGGGCGAGTTCCCTGCCCCGAGGAGCTTACAAGTTGAAATATAGCCCCGGAGAAGCAAGAAAGGGAGAAAAAACGGGGAGGACAGGCAGGAACTCGAGAGATCGGTCCTGCTGCTGGTCCACACTACTAGAACACTCCGAATTGTGCAAAAAACCAAAAGCTCCAGGCGTCCTGCTTTGTTGCAACCCCCCCAACAGCCCTGCCAAGTCGCCCCCTTCCCTTCCTCTGCTCCACCTCGCGTAGCAAAATCGTGGCGCTCGGTAGCCGTCCCCGAAGCACGCCAAGTGGTGCCCTTTCCGCCTCCAAATATTCCTCCTGGCTGGTCTCTCCCCTCGGTCACCTCGTGGCGGGGAGTCCCACGGGACGTTCGCCCCCGAAACGGGCGTGGGTCCAGGTGGGGTTAAACCCTCGGCGGAGCCGTTCCCAAGGGGGGGGGAGAAACGCTTCTCTTGCTTCTTCTGCATCCCTGCCCTGCGTCCTCCCCCCGGAACCAGAACTGGCCGACGACCCTGAAAGCAGGGTGGGAGAATTAACTCGCGCATCCTGCGCTATTTAAGCAGCAGCGGGAAGCCGGGGGTGGGGGGCAGTTCACGGCAGAGCCGCCTCGGGGACCCAGGCGCCTCCTTCCAGTCTTCCTCGGTCGCTTTGGCTCAAGGGATTCGTTCTCCCCATGGCCACCTTTCCTCCGTTCAAGCACAGAAAATCCTTCGGTAAGAGATTCGTCTCTCCCCTTCCCCGTGTGAACGCTCCGGTTTGGATCGGCGGGGCGAGGCTGGGTTCCCCCGATGGCTACCGCCCCCTGTTGGCCCAAGAGGGGAATTCACCGTTCTTTTGGGTCACTTCTTGAGTGTTTAGAGCTGTGCTGTGATTGTTCATTAGCGGGCTGCGTTCCCACGATAGGTTTCCCTGGGCGAAGTAAACCCTAGTTCAG